AACGACTCCCCTGCACTCTTACACCCAACGTCCGATCTCCGTTCGGGGTCAAAACCCTGTCAGAGTAGGGGGGTTCCCGCGGTCAACACTACAACCAGACACGCGGCGCCACCCCGAGGACGCCCGACCGACGGGTCGTCGAGGCGAACAGAACCTAGCCCACCTCAACTCACACATCAACATCATATTTACTTTATTTCTACTAAAGAAGATAGTAAAGATGTAAATTGAAGCGGTAGGCTTGGCTCTGCTCCTGGCATTGCTTAAGTCCATGGGCGACGGCAACCACTCACCATCAGGTGGACCGTGTGCTCGTCTGCCTACAAGGGCAATTAAAAAAAAAGGTGTATTGCATGTCTACAGGGAGACTACTACAAAAAAGATATGCATTCTCGTTTCATGCGTCGGATAACTGTTATATATTTGTGCCTTTATACTCAGGCCTCAAGGTGGGTGACAGCATTGTCACATCCATGTAGTCTTAGTAACTGCTTACAACCAGGCAGGTCAATAAGAGCAAAATATTATTTTCACACTATCTGTTCCGGAGAGACAAAGGACAAAGAAAACCTGTCATCTCATATGTCAGATGCTAGGCAATGGAACGGAATATAATAAAAATGTGGTGATTTTCAAAAATCGTGCGAGGAAAAATCTCATAAATTTACAATTTACAAAATACATATTTAGTGTATTAGTTGATTCCCATTGGCACTCAAAATAACTATTGACAATAGCATGTTCAGTATGAAATATATTAATGAACCTTGAAGCTGTCACGACAGCTTTTTCGTGCTATTATTTTTGTAAAATTACAGTAGCATATTGGGTATTTTTTAATTTCAATAAAATGTTTGTTTAACTTAAAATTTACACTATTTTTATCCATAGTTCAGAACCACAATTTACTCATAGTTCTAATACTTAATTATTTTCTTTTGGAAGACATACCGGACAAAGTTTCAAAACATTTACAAAAGATTTGATATTAAGGTCTTCTCAACTTTTTACATGGAATTAATTTTATTAATTAGATTTAAATACATGTTATATTTGAATTATATTTAACAAATCTTACAATTATAATTTTAAAAGTAATTATTATTAAATAAACAAATCAACAAAGGAAGGCAAAAGGGTTAATTTAATATCATGTTCTATGAATGTTAGCACGTACTTTAACAAAGAATTACACTAAAATACTTACTATGCGTCCTCCTGGAAGAATTTCACGATAGCTATAGGAGGCTTCCGAAAAGAAGACAACAAGTCGGATGGAAGCTTCTCTGGGGCCACTACTTCACTGGGCCACCAGCATGAGCCCAATTTCACCCAAACTATCTCTCCATCTAAATATTTAACTTCACTCTGTTCACTCATCTCCACTTATCTTTTTATGCAAAATGCACGACCATATTTTGTCAAGAAGTCACTGTAACAGAGCGGAACCGCTAATACATAATTATCCATATATTAACACATGATTTAAATCATACCGCAATTATTTCATAAATACGAGTCTCACAACCATTAAATAAAGTCTTTTGCCCTCTATTTGTCAAAACAGTAGCAAAATATTAGTTGTAAATATCACCGACTGCGTACGAAATTATTCTGCGTGTTTCTTATTGTGGTACCACTGATTTAATAAAAGAGGGCAAATACTACTGATTAATTACTTATTGGCAAATANATTTAAATCATACCGCAATTATTTCATAAATACGAGTCTCACAACCATTAAATAAAGTCTTTTGCCCTCTATTTGTCAAAACAGTAGCAAAATATTAGTTGTAAATATCACCGACTGCGTACGAAATTATTCTGCGTGTTTCTTATTGTGGTACCACTGATTTAATAAAAGAGGGCAAATACTACTGATTAATTACTTATTGGCAAATAAACATTCTTTTAATATTATTTACTGAATATTTACAATATTTTTAATACTTTTTTTTTCAATATTTATAGTTCTGCAATAAAAAAGGAATAAAAATACCCAGGCGGAAGACAATTTTGAGGTTGGCGTCAGCAGATACCAACATACATAAAAAATAGTGTTGTGAAAAAGCAAATTTTAGTCGATTTTGCGGAGCTACACAACTCCCACAACCAACATAGACTTCATGCGTTGTACTCTTTTGCCTTTCTTGTTCATAAGCTTCGAAATCAAACTTGTGAAAGTTGTAAGCAATTTGTGTGTTAAACTACAGTACATGAGATGCCTTTCTTGCAAGCTTACTATAGTCAAGCTTTCATTTTATGACATTCATGTCTAGTTATACTAATGTAATGCGAAGACGGCTCACAGGTAGTCTCTCGCAATATTCAAAACTGTGAAATCCGCACATCGCCAGTTTTTTTATTTTATTTGTACAATGCATTGAAAAGTCGAAATTATTATAATTTTTGTCATGATTGTTTAACGGCATGATTCTTACCGAAATCCAAATGACAAAAGTATGAAAGTCTATCATTCTCTGGGTTCGTCGTATGCGTCTTTCTTACTTTAGTTACTCGATAACTATTAAATGGGCATAATTAGGAAGAAATTTGTTTTTATCTATGCATAAGATTTCGAATCTTCAAGTTCAGATATTAGTCTGACAGCAACACTATTCTAGGTATCTAAAAAAGTAATAAGTCTGTCTTCAAATTACTTTTTCATCTTTATCTAGGGTCTGTAATTAAATACTTAAGAAGATTATATTTTATGTTACTATTAGAATACAGTTTTGTAAAACTCTTTATAGTTTATTATTTATCTCTATAGATTTAAATACACTATAGATAATACACTAAATAAAACTTATTTCTACCATTCTGTCATTATAATTTTCATTCTCCTGTTCTTTTGCGTCACCTTTTTTCTAGCTTTCAGAATAGATTGAAGTCGTTCTGCGTACGTGTGTATGTAAAATTTGTAGCTACCAAAAGGTCATAAAAATGCATTGAAAATGTTTTAATCAAAACTGTAAAAGGACCGCATTTTTCGGGTTTTTAATCGGTGCCTACTGGATCGGTACTTAGAATATGTAAAGTACTAATTATATAAAAAAACAAGATCTCAGAGTAACAGATTCTACAAGTTGTTTTATTTAGCGCTATGACATGTCCTTCTTCAAACGAGGCTTGCGGAGAGTACTTAATGGTAGGCAGCGGCTTGGCTCTGGCCCCGGCATTACTGACGTACATGAGCGACGGTGACCACTTACCATCAGGTGAGCCGTATGCTCGTCTGCCTGCAAAGGCAATAAAATTTTTTTTTAAAAGTAATGGAGGATAGAGATAAGGAACGCACTGTGTGAATTTCAAAAAGTGGCCGTCGATACACGGCCAATAACGGTGGCGCCACTGTACCAACTAATGTAAATTAAAACATCGCGTCTAAAGTTATTAAATGAAACTTTTTCAACTTAGGTCACTTTATTACGTTTGTAACTACTACATTAATATGATTTCATAGTTTTTGGAAGATTTTGAATTATAATTTTTCTCTACACTGCTTAAGTAAATAAATTGTATATACAGATATGATACAGATACTAGACAATGCTTGTCGTTAAAGAGCAATTTTTTTTTTAAGCTCACATTGGTAATGGGTTTTGATGTTTATACTTTGTAAAAATAATTGCTCCAGTATTGCCATTTACAGATATTCCTGTAAGTGTCATATAGGTATTACGGATTATTATTGTTATTAAGTAATAAGGATTCGCTGGAGACTGGCATTTACTGGAGGTAGGGCGTACTGTAAGCCCGCATGGAATGATACTACAATATCTCTAGTTTCTGCCGCGAAGCAATCATACATTCCGATTTAATCAACAGTCGTTCAAAATAGCCGTTATAGATTTACATAATAATATCTTCTTCTACGCTACACTCATGCCAAAGTGTTCATGAGCATTATGCTTTACCACGTAACCACTTTACACCGGGTGGACCGTAAACTCATTTAAGTAATAAAAAAGGCAATCGATTTTATTATGCAATTGAACAGAACAGATCCGAACTGTTCAATATCAACGTCACCGAGGTGGTACGTGCTGAAAGTCACAACCGATAGAACATAATAGCTCATGATATATATTGAATAAAGTAATTATATAATTCTTTTTTACCATTTACGTAACGCAAGTGTAGTGAAAATACACAGAAAACCAAATTATAACAACGTTTTAAATAAATTCATTACATCTTCGGATTTTTATATTTTTTTAAAAGCAATCTGATTTACGCTACGGTTACCGTTACGGTTATGGTATTTCTTCTGCAATACTTATTGAACGAACTCTATGGCTCAAAGATACTTACATAGAATACTTAATACACGCCGCTCTCAATTCACCTCATCTTGCAATCAAAATTAAATACGTACTGAAGTAATAGATCAGGTCTCCTCAAAATATTATATGATGTGTAATATGTGTAATGTTGTGTATATTAAATCGAAATTTATGAAGTATTCTCTATTTTTTGATGACTATTTTTTGACAACAATTATCATAAGACGCTATGGGCCCGATAAGTAATTAATACTAGGGCTTGATTAAAGGATTAAAAGAAAGAAAATAGTAAAAGAAAAAATAAAAGAAAGGGCTTAAAGAATAAGAAAACATAAAGCTATCTCGGGACTATGGCGCGTCACTAGCATACCGGGTATATAACTATGAACAGTGTGCTTAGTGCGAGTTTTTAACGTTTTCGATAACGTAAAAGTTAACTAAAATTTATATCGAGTTGGGATGTTTGTTTGTCTACATTTGCCGCTAGGGGCGCTGTTCCAACTGCATACAAATTTTAGTTAACTTTTACACTATCGAGAACGTTAAAAACTCGCACTAAGTAACAATACAGGCCAGGCCAGACCGGATATTGGCAATCACGCATTCACGCAATTGAGATAGTACTCTGGAGATTAAATGTGTTTGGACTTCCTTTGTTTGTAAAATCTCTGACAGAAATAAACCCTTTGGACATTGTTTTGTTTTTTAATATAATTTATTTAAAACATATCTTAAGTTTAATATTACATTGTCATTACTTTAAATAATTAAATCTTAAGTTTTACCTCACTAAATTTTGGTTTAAATTTTTAAAAGCATCTGATGTAGGCAAACAAAATAAGTAATTAAATAAAAAAATTAATAATTAACATTTGTATAAAATATTTTCAATTATATAATTATTTTTCGAGACCAAATGAACTCCAAATTCTTCTCACACCAGTGTAGGTTTCTTTAAGATGACGAAACACACATTAGTGCGACCGTTGTGATATTTTTATCCTTGAAATCATTTGATTTCGATACTAACGAATAAAAAAATTAATACTTTTAAATTAGTACCGAACTTAAATCACTTTATAAGTACGTTCACAAACTTAGGTGGCATATGTACGATCCATAAAATATTTCATTACAACACGCTTTGGCCCACTCGATTAGTAGGTATAGCATAATTGAATTTTAATTAACAACCTAGCACCATTTTTACACTAAAATTTTACATCTAATCCGAAAGTATTTTAGCCGGCATATTGGCGGACAAGTTTAGCCCAATGCTGCGGGAAGTTTCTCTGCACGTACGAAAGTGTCTTTTGAATCTGTTTCGTTTCTTGTGGTGAGCATTGAGGACAAGCCCCGCGCAAAACGAGCGGTGCCAGAGCTGGAAAAATAAACAGAACGAATTCATAAGGTAATAAATACGTAAAGGTAGATAATATACGTAAATCGTTGTGTAGTTCAGGAAATTAAGGCGTTCATAATGTAAATCAGTGTAGCACAATGATAACTTTTTTCAATTTTACCCATTGTATTGAATAAACAGTTTATCCTCAATACATGATGTACAATGCAATAAAAAATTCAATTAATGTGTATCGGCTCCGTTAAGCTTATTCACAGTAAGGCAAAAACAAAACGTTTTAACTTATTTTTTTCCACAATAGCGTCAATTTTACGATTTAAGTAACTCACTTAGTTTTGTGATTTTTTAAATTTTAAATAAAAAATTTACATTCATACTTTTCAAACGTTTTCCGATAGGGTCGCAGGGTGCCTCGCCGAGTGCACACTTGAGCTGTCTCTGTATGAATCGCTTGTCATTAAGTGCTTCATCCAAAGCTGTGTCTGTGACCTGGGGCCGATTCTGTTGCGCCGCACAGACAACCACCAGCACGAGCAGTCCTAAATAACTCAGCTAAAATAAAAACATACAAATGAATAACACATTAAAAAAAGTATTCAGTGCAGCATAGACATTCGCAAATGAATACAAAACATATAATCATACAAAATGTAAAATTTTAATTCGTTTCCACTCAATCATTTAAAAAAAATTGACTACAAGATTTGGTCGTTGGAAGTAATCGACTATTTTCGTTAATTTCGATTTAGAAGAGATATTTATTGCCATTTATGTAAAGTGTACGCTGCAGGCTCTCATTATTATGGATATTGTTAATACCATTTTCTCCAGCAAACAAACTTAGTAAGAAACAGTATGACGTATTTAAAGTATTAGGGGTTAAAGTATTGTTACGCGCTGGGGTTCGGGATAAATAAAATTCTACCAAAGTACAACTTAAAACTGTATTCAACACTTAGAACACTTAAAACACTCAACAAAACCTTAAAACTCTCAATTTGCTTCTTCCACTTCGCTTCAGGTGATCCGTTCGCTGTTTCGCTTCGAGTAGTTCCGATTATTAATTGCGTGCCATCTCTGGAACCTTTTATAGCCGATACCACATCCCTAGAATTATCGAGAATATTCCACACATCTCTAGCATAGTGTTTCCGCTATCTGACAATAGATGGCGATCTACTTCTCGAGCGTTCTAAGTGCTACTAGATATTCAACTATTCGGCGATAGGTGGCGTTACTTTTACCGGCGTAACAGTGTGAAATTGCCGATTTGTACTAAAAAAGGGAATTTGGTTGTTTTTTTTCATTTAGCATTAATTTATTTATTTATTTAATCAAAATATCTACCATTATTATCTATACGTTGATGCCATCTAAAAGGAACATCATTTATGCCTTTGCCAGAGAACTCTGGTGATCTATATTCTTCTCCTCCTGGGAAGAAAACTTTTTATCATGTAGAAAATTATCCAAATCACGAAAAAAATTATAGTCCATTGGAGCAAGGTCTGGCGAATACGGAGAGTGACGCATGGTTTCTAATTGCAGTTCCTGTAGAGTTAAAACGGTTTCTCGTGCTGTGTGAGGTCTCGGGTTACCTTGGAGAAATAATGGTGAAGATCGATTCATGAGTCGGGGCTATTTCACTGCAAGTTTTGCTATCATTGTTCGGAGTTCGGCACAGTAGACATCTGCCGTTAGAAAGCTATAGTGAACACCATGTAGGATGCTGTTTGACCTGGGGTCAGCCATTGCGTTTTTCGCTTACGGTTATTGTAAAGAATCCACTTTTCATTACATTCGATCCAATATTCCTTCATTTCTGTATCCATTCAACAAGGCAACACAAGTTTCAACATGCGTTTCTTTCTGCAGATCAGTCAAATCATGAGGCATTTTTCATATTTTTTTGTTTTATTGGTTTGACGCAAATGAGTCAGTATTGTTGGTAAGGTAAACCAGGCCGCTAATTCCTGGGTAGTTTGGCTCGGATCGGCTTCTATCATCTATTTCAATTCGTTGTTATTCATATGTATGGGCGGTCTTACACGTGGCTCGTTTTTTAAATCAAAATTTCCACCACGAAAGCGTTTAAACCAAAATCGTACGGTGCGTTTATTAGCAGTCCCCTCTCCAAACGCAACATTGATCTTGCGAGCTGTTTCTGCAGCGATAGTTCCACGTCGGAATTCGAATTCAAAAATCACTGGAACTTTCGAAGTACCTATCCATCTTTCTTGTCTAAGCTGAATTAAAAAAACAACTGAAGGTCGATCATCGAGTGTTGCCCATTTTTTAAAAGAAGAAACTCATAGGTACCAATTGAAAAAAGTTTCACTCAAAAATCTCAAACCATGAAGGTTCTATGTCAATTTGAAATACCTACAATAGAACGGCAATTTCATACTTTAACCCCTATTATATAGCATATAAATAGGCGTTGCAATGAGTGAAAATGAGTTAGCTATTCAAAATTGAACCCCATGCTTTAAGTGTCGCGCCAACTACAAATACAATTATTCTTTGCTTCGAACAATTGGCAATTAGAGGTCAAACGCACGTAGCACTTTTCACCTAATATTACACAACGGTTGGTAAATTGTTTTGTATGCGGTGAACAGTTACAAGCCAGAGCGACCGTGAAAACGCATAGCAAAATGAAAACATTAAATTTTACTTTTAATACTATGTGCAAATAGGTGACCGACAACAAACCGAATATAGATTTTAGCCAAGATTCCTTCCTTTTATGTTGTCTATTGTAAAGAATACCTACTTAATATTATTATTCTATTTACCACCCAACGGGCGAGCTAGCTACTCGTATGAGATGATCTTGGCATCAGTTCCTAACCTTATTTGTCTTCGAGAACTTGAAAAGCCATACATTTATTATCAGTAGGTATACTCAAGATTGAAATATGCGAAAGGATTAGAAGATTTAATTCTCAATTCGCGAGCCTCGTTGAAGTTGAATTATCTTGGTGAATATTTTAAATTACTACTACTATGGGTACATACGTAGAATGCTGACCTGTTACATTGTGAATTTCTATGCAATAGTACAGCTGTTGTTTGCGAGATAATATCTCGGATTGATTGAGCTCATAAAATAGTCAGCATGAACATCGTACGTGATGAAAATTTTAATAAATGTGTAATCGTTACCTCGCCAAATAAATTATCAACACTTGCATCAGCTTTAGGACGCAGAACAATAGGCAGAACAAATTTTAGTAGTTTTAACTTCGAACTTTGACCTTTTTGATACCTGTCCATCTATTATTATTTTAAAACTCTCTATTTAAAATACCAATACAGTATTAATACCATGTTTACGTAGCAACAACCACATCTCATAACTTGCAAAACATTTGATTTTACTTAAATAAGCTTGCAATAATTCGATATTTAAATTACATTTCGTGATTATATTATTGATTTTAATGAACAGAACAATTGTTGCATTATGTAAAGGCACATTTACACGCAGGGCCGGGATTATACGAAATACCTACCGAGTGGGGCGCTGCAGCGCTGTGGCGAATGCAGTGTGAACTTGTCTAACATTCAAGCCTATTTCTTTTCGATGTAACAAAATTTTCGTTTCCTTCTTTATACAAAGCCGTTCTATGGGTATCGCCTATTTACAAAAATCTCTAAAATGATAATAATAATAATAATAACCCCGACTGGCAACCCCACCTGTGTCAAAGTATTCCACCGCTTAACCAAATAGGTAGATGGCTTAACAGCTGTTTTGTTAGACGCCTATAAATCTAGTTCCTGGATAAAGGTCTGTGTTTTCGGTACTTTATATTATTGACGAGATGGCCGGTCCACAGAACGCCTTGTTGTACAGGGAAGCGTTGATGGTACAAGACCGCGCGGGAGGCGACCAATGCGGTGGACCGACCAAATTAAAACTGCAGTGGGAGGTCCCCTAAATGAGTGCAGTAGAATGACCTCGAGCAGGGAGAGATGGCGCGACATCGTGAGACGCATCAAGTCTGCCCCTTCCAACACTACATGACGATCACGACCATTCTGTCAAGAGTGACACGACTGAGAAGAAGAAGAAGAAGATATTATTAATAATGACATCAAAAATTACAGTCAGGCCCAGACATGTAATTTTCTATCATGCTCATCGAAATGACAATTACTAATCTGCCAGTGTCTACTTAATATCTATTAAGACTACTTATACAATTTACCATTTTATAGTCGTCCGTGACAACGAAAATCGGAAAGTATTCGATATGTCATAAATAAGATACGTGTCACTGCAAATTTTTAATTAGAGAAGCTAATAAAATGGTACAAACACTAAATTATTCCACATGCACAAGTCAGAGTTAATGGGAGCCTCTTCACTGGATTTTAAGGCGTATATTTTTTATTACTTAATTCGAGGTTCAAATGAACCTTTTTCAACAAGATAACTTTTAGAAATGTTGGGAGTGTCGCTCTCCGATGATACGAGGATTTTGCGCCACTTTGAGAAGGCAGCACGACATGAGAATCCTCTTGTCGTGGCCGCTGGGAATTACATACCCGATCCTGTAGACCGAATGGTAAATGGTCGACGTCGCCCAAAACACGTCATTACGGGTCCTCCCAACCCATTAACGGTGCTTTTAGGTACCACAAGCACCGGTCACCGTCCTCGTCGAACCCTTTCGTCGCAAGCGACGGGTTCGCGAAGCGAATTAACCCATAGACACAGCCCACTGAGTTTCTCGCCGGATCTTCTCAGTGGGTCGAATGAAAAAAAACGAGGATTCCGAGAATCGTGTCCATATCGGTGTCGTGCAGACGAAGGCTTGACATCAAATTGCGTCACTAAATAAATTTGTAATTTAAAATCTCCAATTTGCATTCTGCAAAACGATACAAGTATAACAGACGTACCGTAGTTACGTAAATGACATAATAATTATCAGACAAAGTGTTGTCGTAAAACAAAATGGAGAACAAATTTCCAGAATTTCCATCATAGGACAAATCAAAACGTACATATAGGTAATTTAGACGAATCGTGACAGAACTTTCATTTCAATCCAACTAAAATTGGTAAAAAAAAACATGTAAAATCAGAGATCTGTAATTTTACTTATTTAATAGGAATGCTACATTCTATTTGTTTTACATAAACAACTTTTATATTTTTAAGATTTATAAAATTCTGTATTTGTAATACCTAAGTATTATAAATTTCTGTATTCATTTTGAACTTCAATAGACACTGAATGAATAAACCTTCGAACGTATTAATTATTTTTTTAATCGGACCACGAAACTTCGTTTATTTTGGTGTTCACTTTGGCTTTCGCGATTCATAGACATAATTAGAGCTACTTTTACGGTTTTTACTCGCATTATTACCTTGTAAGCATATTAATTATGACATATTGTCGACGTCGCCCAAAACACGTCATTACGGATCCTCCCGAATTTATTTCTGTGCACATCCCGCTGAGCTTCTAGCCGGATCTTCTCAGTGGGTCGCGTTTCGGATCCGGTGGTAGATTCTGCGAAGCACTGATCTT